TGTGAAGCTGGGCAGGCGGGAGCCCGCCAGGTGCTGCAGTTCACTCCTGTTCCCCACATTCCATTTCATGACATCTGGATAGTCCCCGTTTCTAAAAATGGGGTGGGCAAACCAGCCCAGGGAAAACTGCAGCATCCGGTCGGCAGCTTCCACATCTCTTAGGACCCCTGGGTCTTTGGGTTCCACCCAGTGAGTGTTGAGGTTCAGTGAGATGACCCCCTTCTGCTCCTGCCTGTATTTCTCATCATAAGTATGGTAGACTCTAGCATGAGCCTTGATGAGTGTGTGGCTGACCCTGTAAGGTGCCCAGCCGGGGTCCTGCACATTTGGGGGAAACACCCCTGAACCATAGCCTAACTGTGACACATACAGGGGCTCATTAAAGGTCATCCAGAACTTGACTCTGTCACCAAAGGTCTTAAAACAGAAGTCAGCATAGCTGTTGAACAAATCAATCAAAGAAGAGTTCTCCCAACCTCCAATATCCTGGAGGGCCTGGGGCAGGTCCCAGTGATACAGTGTCACCATGGGAAAGATGTTGCTCTGCAGCAAGCCGTCAATCAGCCTGTTGTAATAATAGACACCTTGCTCGTTGAGGGAACTGATAGTTCCAGTTGGGAAAATCCGAGGCCAGGAGATAGAGAACCTATAGGCCTTGACCTTCAAGGCGCGAAGAATGTTCAGGTCTTCATCCAGTTTCTTATAGCTGTCACAAGCTATGTCTGCGGTGGCATTGTCTTTCACGGTGCTCCCTGGACTGTGGGTGAAGTTGTCCCAGATGCTGGGTCCTTTCCCGTCAGCATCCCAACCTCCTTCGATTTGATAGGCCGAGGAGGACACGCCCCACAGGAAGTCATCTCTGAATGTGCCATGATAGAACAAGTCTCTCTCAAACTTGGGCTGGTTGGAGAACTTCTCCCACACGATTTTAGCCTGGGAGGGCACCTCAGATGGGAAGTTGTAGAAGGTTGTGGCTCTGGAGGAAAAGTCTGCTTTCATAGGCACTGGGGTTCTTCTCAGCTCCTTGGCAGGGAAACCATTCTTTTCAATGATGCCAGTGAAGAAGTGGGCAGATCTCCTGGCAGTTCTCGGCCTGCTGCTGTCACTAAAGTTGACATGGTACAGCCCGAACCTCTGGCTGTACCCTGGGGGTCCTTCGAAGCCATCAATGAGGGAACGAGCAATGTATGCACGGACATCCACCAAATCCTCCTTGACAGCTGTAAAAAGAAAACAAAGTCAGCCCTGTGCGAGTGCATGCGTGTGTG